TATTGCAATTGCGAGTTTATATCTCACAGTTCTGATGTTTCGTCTTGGAATTCTGAGTTTATATCTCTCAATTCTGAAAAAACCTCAACTGTGAGATATTACTGACATACAAGAAAAAAAGACAATTGTTTATTCTGTTTATTCATGGGCCTCCAGACCCTATTGACTTTGATTGACAAAAAAGAAAATGCTACGACATTTTTCTAAATATCTTCTTTTGTGTTCCACCATCTCCAGGCCTGTAGCAATGAGCCAAAAACAAATCTCCCCAATAATGATGATATAGAAAAGGTCGCAAGACAACAAGCAAACAAAGCTCACCTTGTTTGGATTGTTTTTCTCAACAATGCCATCTCGGTCAGCATCTACGTCCAGAGATATCTCTGCAAATGAACCGAGACAACATGAGGCTTGCCTGTTCCTTCAGTCCCACCAGCATGAGGCTGTTTATAGTTACAGCACAGATACTATTTATATATAAGCATTAATTATAAACACAGGCGTAGCCTATGTCTCAAAATGAAAACATGATGGAGACGTACCGACAGCCGTTAGATGCAGCACGGCGTCCCCGAGCGACTCAGTTTTCTCTCCATAGTACCTCACAGACAGCTGAAACAGATCAGAACGAAACAAGCATAAAATGGATTATTGCGACAATTATTCTGGTTTTCTTTGATTGCTAAAGTGATTCATTACTGTACTGATTGCATTTTAAAATGTGCTAAATATACCTTCAAGCTGCGAGTGCTAGACAGTGTTGTGAAAGTGACGTGAGATCACGTTGACACATAAACCTCAGTTTCCTGCATAGACTAGTACCGGGGTCAACCACAGCGTGTGCATCAGACTAACAGTGACGGCGCTACACCGGGGCTAGGGGGGGCTATAGCCCCGTCAGAATTGTTAATAGCCCCGGTTTATCCCCATTTCTTTATGAAGTAACTCTGACGTCATTAATATCATTTATTTTCTGAGCACCCCCCACATATTGGTCTAGCCCCCCCTTAGCACCGGTAGAGAAAAAATTCTGGCGCTGTGCCTGCAGACTAACAAGACTGACAAGACAAGCAGTTGCCTGTCTGCAGCTGTCGATTTCTTTCAGTTCTGTTTATTTTCTAAAAGACTACTATCTGCTTTAGTGCAAAGGCTAGTCATACAGTACAAGGGAAAAAAAACATACACAAATGGAATCTGCCCACACAGAAAACTCCCCTATCATATCCTCCTTTAAAATATTTGTGCTAGTATGATGCTTTCAAATACGAGTCTAGTATTTCTGGCTCAGTTTCAAACATTTGATCTTGTTTGAAACTATTCCATAGAATTTTCTTCCAAACGCACATTGGGGGAATGGAAGGCACCCATTTACTTTAAAAACTGTTTTTGGGCTTGTCAAAGTAAAATTGTAGTGTAACAGATGAAGTGAACTGACGTGTGGCGACCCATACTTGGAATTAGTGCTTTGCATTTAACCCATCCACCCACTTCCCCCACTGATGTAATGGTTGTTACATCAAATCAACAGTAGCTATTTTTTCCCCCAAAATGGCAGCTATGGGGCAAAGTGAGCCAAATGTTGTGGGGTAAATTGAGTCAGCATTTTAACTTAACCCACCATAAGGGACTGTAGTTAAGTTAAATCTCTGAATTATAAACTGGGGTTTTAATGTGATATTACTGGTTTATCATATCATATATACTGTACATATTATTTGTAGTTTATTTGATAGGGACAGTGTACAAGTGCACCAAATCCTTACCAGAAAATGCTTTTCATCACATTATAATCAGATATATCTTTCCACCTGTAGTCACTAATGGCCAACAAACTCTCTGTTTAGTCTGTTTTTAGGAAGGCTACAGCTTTGGTGTTCAACATATTGTTTCAGAAATGCAAACAATTAAATACTGAAATTTAAACTTAATTTGGTTGGTTTTATGTTGTTAAAGTGAACTTTATGAAAAGAAATATGACTGTTTGTAAATGGAAATTATTAAATTAGTTTTTAAATTGTTATTTATTTCACATGGGTTTGAATCAGATTTGGCCAGATGGTCATTTTACACCCAGATGGTGCATCTTACCCACTGACTCGACTCGGGTCAACTTACCCCTAACCTGACTGAGCCATGAGAACCATTTTTGATAATTTGATAAGATTTTAAAACCCTTTGCCATAGATACATTCTGATCATTTAAAATTATAGGAATACTTTCATTCGTATAGGAGTATAGGATTCTTTGTATTTCTGCATCATTTTCCCTTGAGGACCACATAAGTAAAAAATGGCTAATCTTAGCCCACTCTCCC